TTTCGGTTTTGTACAGAGCTGATGGTGAAATTGGGGGAATCGTGTGGATCCTCCGTGAATCTGACGTGTAAGCTGCCAGGTGAGGATCTCGACGTGTTGGTCACGGTCAAGTCCAATTAGGAGCTCCGGAGCGTGGTGGAGGAGTACGAGAAGTCGTTTTCGTCAGAGGCAAAGATTAGGGCGGTGCTTTTTCCGGCCAGATCTGGGAAGAAAATCACCCCCACCGTCGTCTCTGATTTCGTGCTTCGACTTCCCTTCCGCCGCGAAGGCACGCGGCGCTGCTCCTCCCTCCGCCACCGCCTTCTACCGCGCGTATGCGCCTCCCACGGCAGTGACGCGGTGCGCGTCTCCGGTCGTTGGGTATCCCGTCGTCGCCGGGAAAAGTCGTTACTGTTAGGCCAAGGCTTACCACGTGTCGGTTAGGAATTATTCTCAATAGTAAAGGGAAGGAAAGTGGGGGAGAAAAACAAGAGAGGAGTTGTTTCATTTTTATATTTTTTAAACAGCTGAACTTGTGACCTTTTTGTTTTTTTCTTCCTACAAAATGTCACTTGGTTATACTGCTAGTTTGCGGCTCAAACAATTGTGGAGACTTTTTTCCGGCACCGAGAAAATTGAGCTAAGCTTTGTTCAAAGTTGCTCAGATTTGAGTCTGCAATCTAACAAAATGAGCAAATAATCGAGTTCCAACTGGGATCAAGTGCTCAACAACTGAGCTATTAACAAGTTGAAAATTAGAAAATATCAAGCTCGAAATCTAAACTAGCCAAGAATTGTTTGGTTAATTTGACAAAAAAAATTAAGAAATTGTGTAACTAGTTGGTTAACTGGTTTTATTTGGCTTCTTTTTAATGTCACGGCTGGGAAGCCGTAGTCCGGTGCCGCCGGCGTTGGTATCTGTTGACGGTGGTTGTGTGGCACGTGACGGTTAATGGGTCAGTCATTGCCTTGTCTCTGTTGAACGACAGACGTGGCGTGGTTCCCACGTGAATATTTGATGAAGTTTCTCATGATCTTTTGGTGTCCTTTGTTTTATTTTGCAGGCTGCTGCGCGTGGAGAGGCGGGTGGGATTCATGGGCAACGGTTTGGCGGTCGCCGATGAGCTAAACAATATATTTATCACTCTTTGGAAGAAGTTGAACATACCGTGTAACTAAAATATTATAGAAAATCAGAAATTTCTCCGAGAAAATATACAATAAATAAATAAAAAAATAAATCAGAAAGGACAATATTATTATCTATCTATTACTATATAATACAATTAAGAAATCGATTATCAAACTATATAAAATAATATTTTATTTCTTAAAATTTATTCAAAATTCCAACTATTATTTGCTTTAAATTTATTGTAGATCTCATCTATTATTTGCTTACTATATATTTAAAATCTAAAATAAGTTGGATCAAGTTTAAGGTGATAAACACGATCTTTTTTGTTGTGTGAAAACAAACTAAAGCTATACTATTTTAGGAAGTGGTTTGGCATATTTAGAATTCTATGTGACTAGTGTTTTTAATAGAATGTTTCTATTTCTTTACATAGTTATGTCTTTTTGCCCAATGTATTAATATATATTATGTTAGATCATCATTCAATACCGATTGCCTAAAATAATACCTCAACCATTTTTAGGAGATAATGACCCTTGTGGCATCTTATATATTCTATTTACTCTTTTGGAACTCTTCGATGCATTTTCCACTCACAAGTCTTTTCTTCTTTATTGTACTTTTATTTACTCTTTTACAACATAATCTATATGTCAAAATATTTGGAAACTTATTTCATTTTCTTTTAATAAAAAAATATCAATAGTGTTTCTATTTTCCTTCCTTGATAACTCGACCTCATAACCTACCGGTCAGAGCTCAAGCCTCTTATCATCAATCTGCGCTTCGTTGTGGTATTTGTAAACTTATTTTCCCCATTTTATGATTAACTCTTACTCAAGGTGGACCGCACCCAATAGATCCAAGAATTAACCCAGCCCATAAAAGGGCCCATATGACGAAATGACGTCTGATTTCCCCGCGAGAAAAAAATGGCGCGAACTTCCCGCCATGTCAGTTTCCCCGGCCAAAAAAAGAGCAATGCTATATAAACCCTACATTCAGCAGCGCGTCGGACAGTGCCGTACCGTGCAGATATGGACGCCGCTAAATCGCCGCCGTCTGCCTCACCCAGGTCGAAGAAGCAGTCACATTCACCCGCTCCGTCGGATAATAAGGCTCGGAAAGTCCCTGAATCCGACCCGAATCCATGGGGTGTGAAGACGCCAAGCAAGCCGGCGGACCCCCCAAGGCGGCTGTGCAACCGCCGTGCGGCGATGTCGATCAAGGAAATCAGGGAGGCGGCGATGAAACTACGGGGACGCAGATCCGACCCGCCCGAACCGATTGAGCCCGTGGTTGAATCCAAAGTCGAGTCCGTTGCTAAGCCGAATAAGCCTTCTGGTTCGGAGATAAAGCTTCCCGAGAAGTGAGTAGATTTATTAATGCTGTCTGTAGTAAGTATTTGAATCGTTTTTTGTTGTTGTAAAGATTTGTTTGAGCATCCACAGAGTACACATTACTTAACACTTACGGTATTGTTGATCTGCTCTTGTTTATGTTTCTTGAGTTCTTCAGGAAATCTGGTGCTTTCTTGATTTGAAGGATGCATATAAATTTGTTGTTTTGGTGTTTTGAATGTATTTCTTTCAATGGGCTAGTCAGGAATAGAAAAAGATTGCATTTTGAATCCCCGTATTCATCGCATCGAATCGAAGGGGTTTGATAATGAGAAAATCACAATACCATTCTTTAGGCTTATGGATTTGAGTTTCTAGTTAATCCCTGCACCATATTCGTTATTAATAACCTATCCAGATCCTATTATTACCTGTCCATAAAGATTCTGTTCATTGTCTTCTTTGAATCTTTAGTTTCGATATGATCAGTTTTGTCATATGTTTGATGGTTACTTAATGTTTGTGCTTCAGGTATGAGTTGTTAGATAAATTCTTCAACAGCTTGGATAGCTCAATCAGACTACTTCAGTTGAAGGGATCTGCACCAGTATTTGCTAACATTTGTCCCCAAGTAGAAAGTTTAACTGACAGGTTGAATCAGACTTTGTCTCGTCGATCCCTTACATATTTGTGTTTAATGTGTGTGTGTGTGTGTGTGTTTTTTCATATTTTTGAATTTTGTTAAAGTTATTCCCTTGTACTTCATCAGGAGGTTCACATATAGCCATTTAGCCCAATTGAAGTTCATCATGCCCAAGGCGATTATGCTAGAGAAAGTCTTGCGGCATGATGAGCGCACGAGCTGCATGAGGCCTGACCTTCGCATCACATTGAATGTTGAAGCAGTGAAAAGCAAGAACAATTCTCAATCCCTCGGTGGCAATTTGCGGTTGAGTTACAATTTTTATAAAATAATAGTAGATAATTGTCGGTTTACAGGGACACCTTGGGCCACGCCCTTTCTTTTACTCCTTACAAAGACGCATATTTCTTGGTTGGCAGGTTGTTCCAAAGCTATTCCCTAGAGCATTCCAAGTGAAAGATTACCTGTTGATTGTGGTGAGGGTAAGTCATATGGACTTTTAATGAATCTCTAACCTTGTAATGGTGGAGTATGGCAGGATACTCTTGAACCCATATCTTTCATGTCGAAATTTCTTTTCAACATTATTTTCGTATCCATAATCACTTCATTGTTGCTTCCCATGATCAACATATCGTCTACATATAGACATACAATCACAAATGTATTTGATGTACCCTTGACATAACCACATTTATCACATTCGTTGATTTTGAACTCATTTGACAACATCACGTCATCAAATTTCAAATGCCATTGTTTCGGAGCTTGTTTCAGTCTGTACAAGGATTTGATCAATCTACACACCTTTCTCTCCTGTCCAGGTGCAAAAAACCCTTCAGGTTGTTCTATGTATATTTCTTTTTCCAATTCACCATTCAAAAATGCCGTCCTGACATCCATTTGGTGAATCTTAAGATTGTGCAAAGCAGCAATCGAAAGAAGCACTCTTATAGACGCTAAACGCGTAACTGGTGAATAGGTATCAAAGAAATCATACACTTCCTTTTGTTTAAAGCCTTTGACCACAAAACGTGCTTTATACTTATCAATCGATCCATCAGCTTTATAGTTCTTCTTCAGGATCCACTTGTATCCTAAAGGTTTACAACCATCAGGGAGATCAACCAACTCCCAAGTATGATTTTGCATAATGGACTCGATTTCGCTATTTACAGCTTCTTCCCAGAGTGGTCCATCTGGGCTGGATAGAGCTTCTTTAAGAGAACCCGGTTCATCGTCCAACATGTACGTAATAAAATCAGCTCCAAACGTTTTAGCCGTTTTTACCCTTTTACTACGTCTCGATTCTTCATCAGTATTCTCTGGTACAGAACCACTAGCAGTTTCATACGTTCTTTTATTAGAACTAGATTCTGCCCTCAGTATTCTCTGGTACAGAACCACTAGTAGTTTCATACGTTCTTTTATTAGAACTAGATTCTGCCCTTTCCTTCATAGTAAAAACATTCTCAAAGAATATATCATTCTTTGACTCAATCGTGGTACCAACAGATACCTCTGGATTTTCTGATTTATGAACTAGAAATCTATATATTGTACTATTGTACGCATATCCAATAAATACACAATCGACCGTCTTTGGCCCGATTGTCATTTGTTTTGGTTCAGGTACTGAAACCTTAGCCAACACCCCCACACTTTCAG